AGCAGACGAAAATTTTCTTTTCATAATAATACGCCAAAATTCAAATTATATAATAAGATGTATGGGTGTTTTAAAATGATTTTAATATTTAATTTAAAAAGTAGTCTTCTTTAATTTGATATTAATAAATAAAAACAGAAAATCAATACAAAATGTAATTGTAAACAAACATTCATAATTGTTGAAAGATAAATTTGAGAATCATTCTGTTATTATATCTGACAATGGCCCTTCGCCTGATTTTCTAAAATTTTGGTAGTACATATTAGTTTTAAAAACAGTTGTGATAATTCTACAAAAATTTAAATTTATTCAAAGAATTCATATTGATTCATGTAACGAAAAATGTGTGTCGTGCCGGGTCAAAAAAAAATTCGACCAATGCACATCCCTAGCTTACAGTCATGCGGCGCTTTGTGTTTTTGTTTGCGTTTTGCGGCCGCCTGTCAGAGTCAGAACGCCACGCGCGAAATGCATTTCCACCCCCACCCTCACAACCCCTTGACTTTGTTGCTCCTCCCCGCTTCTCTGACTCTCTCTCTCTCTCTCTCTCTCTCGCAATCAACATCATCCTGCTGCTGCTGCTGTGGGGCGACGTTCTTTTCTTATTTTAGAGCGCGGTTTAAACAAGCTTGTGGGTGAGCCGCGCATTCTAAGGCGGCATGCACAGTGCTGCTGCACTGGCTGGGCCATGTAATCTACGTACATACGTATATATATGTACATATGCAAGTGTGTGAATATCTGTGTGTGTGAACTATATATAAAGCTTTGTATTTAAAATTGCACATACATATGTATGTATAGTATATATGTATGTATGTACGTGTGAATGATTGTGAGTGCACGCGTGCACTGAAAGCAAAAGTTTTTAAACTAAAAGCGGCAAAGGATGAGGGAAAAATCCATAACAAAGTTTAAGTGTGTACGTCCTTTTATCAAGGTTCATTAAAAAAGAGAAAATAATGCTAAAGCTGTACAATTGAGTCAATTTCCTTGTATAGAAAAATAAAAAGGTTCAATTAATACAAAAAAAAAAACTTAAAGCCGCTTCTGACACTTAGTACGAAGGCAAAAGTTTCGTTGTCCTGCTAATAAATAGAGACAAACAGTTGTATTAAATAATCTGTAGTATATAGTATTGTTTGTCCTGACTGACTGGCAGCCAAAGAGTTGAAATATGGCTACAATTTTACGTTCACAGTGTACGTAAGCACTTAAAGGGATTTGCAAAATTCGTGTACAAATTTTAGAGTTTATCCGATCAACTTAAAACTTGGTTTGAAAGAATACAAAATAAGCTGTATACATGGTTTTTTGGTTTCTTTTTTCTCCGATTTTTGTTGTTTTTCTTGTGCAAATTGGGCAAAGTAATAATTCAATATTTATAATTTTCTAAAGGTAACACATCGATAAGAAAAATATGTGTAATAAATTGCTTTAATTTTAGAACAAAAAACTAAATTATGGTCAAAAGCCGGCAAAAATAATTTTAATTTTTATGAAAGAATCAAAGGGATTACGTTTTATTAAGTGATTAACCAAAATGTATTATAATGAACAAATACCGTTTCATTTACATACAAAAATTAAAATCGACTCAAGTTGATAAAAAAAAATAATGTCACAAATTTTAAATTATCTTATTTGTTGGTTTCCAGGACGATTTTTTATAATTTCCTTTCCATAAACGCTGTGTTATCTAGCAAGATATTTGAGAGACTTTTCCAATCGCAAATGCAAAATATTATTTAAATCTATATACATAATTTTAACATCTTCCTTACTGTTTTCTTAAAAAAAACAACGAAAAAGTGTGCTGCTGCTTTCCATTACAATATTATTTTTAAGAAATGAGGTTTTGAAACATAATTCTGTCTAAAAATAAAAGCAACTCGATTTTTTCTAAAATTAGGTCAATTACGAGGTCTCAAGAGCTTGAGTTATAGTTTAAATAAAGAAATATACATTTTAAGCACAAATTACGAATTAAAGCGAGCTCCGAATACAAACTGACTCAGTTAACATACATCGAAATAACATATGGAGATTTAGCTCAATGCAAGGTAATTCACAACTCTATTCACATTTCTTATTTATTTAGCAAAAGGTAAGCGTCAGCTCTTCCGGTATGCTCTAAATTTGGAGTTCCAATTTTCGGGTGCCAAGTAATCGTTCCGGATTGATTGTATTATAGATATGCCGAAACAGGTGTTGATAAATAAAATATATATGGCAAAGACTGGACACAAACAATTTAAAAAAAATATATAACTTCCCTTCGACTAAGAATTCAAATGTAAACGAAACATGAACAACTATTTATTCAATTAATTTATGTTAATTATATTCGAAAAGTTTAACGAATTCGAGTCGGCAAACCGCTTGATTGACAAAAATGCTCGGCAGGCAGCGTTGCCGAAAGAACACTCCATAAATAAACAGAAATAAAAATATATGCACACACACACACACACACACATTGGTGTTTATATTAAGAATAACAAAAGCAAATAGCGGCGTCTGGAAGACAACAACAATGCCCTTGTGACGTCAGCTCCGTCAGCGCGTCATTGAAATCGAGAGGTGACAGTCGACGTCGCTGCAGCAGCGTTTCGAATTTTCGGTTTACTTTTCGGTTCTTGGGATAGGTCGGTCAGGCAGCCAGTCAGATGTGCTCCATAAACGATTTTAATTATTATTTTATATTTTATTTTTTTGCTTATGCTGCCGAAATGTGGATCGCGGCCAATGGAGCAGAACACAATTGAGGGGAACGCCGACTACTCGATTATTTATGAATTTTACATTTGCAATTTACATAATTCAACTTTAATTAGTCGCTAAATTTCGCTGCCAAAGAATCACTTGGGAATGTGCCCCGCTTTTCCCCAAACGTTCAATTTTCGGGTCTGTTGTTTTTCTGCCATTAGTTGTGCGCATTTATAAATAATAAGGAATATCGATTTAATTCCTTTGACTGCAGGCTGCCTGCCACCATCGAACAATGCAAACAGGCGATTTGGGGCGAGGCTCGCTCTTGCCGTCATGTGTAAAAGTAGTTATATATTATATACTCGTATAGTATAGTTAGTTGGGTTCGATATATTCAGCCACTTATGCATTACACACTGCCGCAGAGAACAAAAACAAGATTCGCACTGAATTCCTAGACTGGCAACTAAGTGGGCACAGGGGAAACAATTTGGAGTGAAATGCGAGCGAACAAGGCAGGGTTTTCGAGTCGAGTCGAGTTTGGTCATATGTACGATAAAGTAATTTAGATGCACATACTTGTATGATAGATGAACAGTTTCCTTTATTGGCAGATGAAAATTGAGATTAAACACCATGAGTTGAAAATGAATCATTTCAAATCAATAATGGCAAACACATAATAAGGAGTAGTTGGCAAACAATTGCTTGTGTTCCAAGAATCGTGCGAGATAATGAATGAATCATTGTTGCCTTGAAGCTTCTTCGTCCTTGTAAATATGCAAGCTTCTTTTTGATGAACTATTTGCAGATTAATTGTAGCACCAATTCAAGCCAAATTCTTTAATGAACACAGATTTCGTTTCACCTCTCATTAATTAGGAATTAAGTCATTTACATTAAGCCGCAACTAACTTCAACCAATACTACGTATACGGCGTGATAGATAATAGCTCAGGGTTTTTTATATACTTAGAAAAGGAAAGCTGTTCTTCTAAGAGTTGTTAATCAGCAATTTTTTACACCAGGATTTCTTATATACTTGTAGTACGTACTTAGAAAAGAAAAGCTATTCTTCTAAGAGTTGGTAATCAGCAATTTTTTACACCTCATATTGAATTCTAACCACTGATTCATAAAATGTTAACAAGATAGTTAGCTGCATTAAGGCAAAGGTTTGATTCAATGGATTACGTTTTCTAGATGCCAAGGGTAAATCGAATGCATATTTTAAAGTAAGTTTCTGATCATTGGATATAATCATTATTAACTGGAAACATTTTTTCTTATTACCAGCTCCTTTAAAGTTGATTTTAAGCCAAGAAAATAGCCCTTTGCAGTATTAACTTATTTAATTAAAACTGCACACCCCTTTTTAAAAGTCATTTAAACTACCCCTCAAACTAACTTATTCAAGAAGAGGTAAGAAAACTTTTTGTAATATAGAGCTCCAGCAAAGATTGAAATGTAAAGAAACGAATCTCAGCGTTGTAAACAAATTGAGGGCTAATGGGAACTACGTGCCTGGCAGCATGTGCTGTTTTATTATTACCTAAATATGGGAACCGTTCATTGCATAGCAATTATGGGCATGATAAATAATCGTGTATGATTGTAGTTATGAATGAAATGTGTATACAACAAATTGGAAGTTTTGATGTTTTGAATTTTTCATAAGCGATTGAGCTTTAATAATAACAAACTGAACAATTACTATTTAATTAATAACAAATGAGGTCTTTGCTGGTTGGTTTAATAAAATAAATAATCTATAAAATTGTTAATAAAAAAAACCTGCATTTTCGTATTTACTTAATCCGCTGATAAGTTTGTTTTTGTTTTGTTCCCAGTTTGTTTTTATTTATAGCTTGTTTTGTTTTTTTTTTTTATATATATACTATCTCTATGCTTCATGGGGAAAGTAATTCATTTGCTATTTAATAACAAACAGAGAATCTTTGGAAATGTTTGTGGAAGTGGTTGATATTCCCTTTCTTTGGCTTGTAGGTCTATTTTTCCCCCCTTTTTGATGCCTAATTTACAACCCAATTTATTTGTAACTAATACTCCTATAATAAAATTCTTTTCTTATACTTTTAGTAAAAAACTTTGTTTGCTTTTACAAAAAGCCATACTTAAACATGTATTACTATTTTGGCGCTCACAATAACGCCATGCCCAAACAAATTGAAAACATAATATTCTACTACTTTGGAGATCAAGCATTCATCAGAAAATAGATCTAATCCTTCAATGTGGCTTATTAAAGAGACTTGGGTACTCACCTTCCAGCTTCATTCCCACCTCGAGACACTTTTGGAAGCGGCAGTATGGACACCGTTTGCGCTGCGTCTTATCGATGTGGCAGGAACGTTCCGCCACACAGGTGTAGACCTTCTTGTTTTGTACCGTACGCTTGAAGAAACCCTTGCAGGACTCGCAGGTGAGCAGGCCGTAGTGATAGCCGCTCACCTTGTCCCCACAGACGGGGCAGAGCTCCTCGAAGAGATGCTTGAAATCGATAGCCTCGCCACTGACGCCTGAGGTGGCGCTGGTGCCGCATGGAGTTCCGTGTGTGCCGCTGCCACCGCCACCGACGCTGCCGGGCATGTGGCCACTGGAGCTGGCAGCCTGCGGCAGCAGCATGTAGCCACCGGCACCAACAGCGTTGCCGCCGCTGCCATTGAGGAGCGCTGAATTGGTGGCACTGGTGCCACCTCCTCCACCTGGCCCGCCGCCGCCACCACCCCCGCCGCCACCACTCTGTTGCGAATGCGACGAGGTGGTGTCCTGATAGCCTGTCGGGAATATATACTGTGAATCGAAATTGTATATATACGAGTAGGAGGAGGAGTTGAATTGATTGGAGTTGTTGGCAATATTCTGTTGTGGTTGTTGTTGCTGCTGCTGTTGTTGTTGTTGGTAATGCTGCTGGTGGCTTTGAGGCTGATGTTGTTGTTGTTGCTGCTGCTGATGATGTGTGTGATGTTGTTGTTGGTGGTGGGACTGTTGATTGCCACTGCCACTCAACTGGAGCGTGTAGGCGCTGTAATCGTTATCGGAATTGCTCAATGCATTTGTATCGTTGTCGTTGTTGTTACTTCTGTTGTTGTTGTTATTATTATTACTGCTATTGCCACTGTTGCTGCCGCTCTGCTGCTGATTACTGGCCAGAGCTGGACTTGCCGGCTGCTGGTCCAGTTGCATCGAAAACGGCGACATGTTGAGCGACGATATAAACTGAACTGTCGCCTGTTGTTGCTCCATTTCTAATAACATTTCATAGAATTTATAACTTGAACTGAGAATTGTTGCTCTGCTTTAATTTGTTGCCTTGATTCGGGGCTTATTTTGGACGGCACTTGCACTTGGGTTACGACAGACAGTGTGGGGGGCTTGCAAGAGAATTTATTGCGTACTTTTTGTTTATTTTTTAATAACGTACTCTTTTTTCTTTTTTGTTTTATTTCATTAATTTAAGCACAAATTGTTGCACTTTTTGTTTGTGTGTACGTGTGTGTAATTTTGTTTAAACTTGCTTATAAAATAGCTTTTTAAAGTTGATGTTTACATACGGTGGTCTGGTCTTTGCACTTAACTGGTTTGATTTTATATGCAACATTTTTAACACATGTATATCCGAACTTTGACAATGTTGTGAGAATTCTTGATTTCCTTGATGTGTTTTATGTTTTTAGGAGGTGCTTTAAAACTGCTTAGAAAATGATGTAACGCATGTATTTATTTTAAAATATATTTAACATTTGTTTATATTAAAGAAATTCTTTAACGATTTGCATCTTTGTTTCTGTTTTGTTTGTTGTTGCAGGTACTTTGACGAGGTGAGTGAGATAGATAGTTTAGATAGCAAGGATCTGTTTAGAACTTGTTTCTTTTTATTTTAGTTGTTTATTTTTTTTAATTCGCAGATTAAGTTAGGTAGGGTTTTTACACTTATGTATATACAAGTAGCTTGATTGTGTGCGTTGTGTTTGAAACAATTTTTTAATTTAATTTGATTTTTTTAATAGCTTATATTAAGTATTTCGGCAACATTTGCAAAATTTCTTGTTGCATTGGCATTAATTAAATTTGGGTCACACAGCTGCTTTGTTTTGGCGTATGCTGCTATTATTTTTATAGATCTTTATATGTGTCTGATTCGTTGATTTAAACAATTTAACATTGCTCGAACACACATATAGAACATAATCCTTGGGCTGTTCTATTGCATGCTAAGCAAATGCAATTGTTTTGATTTCGATTATGCGCACTTTTTTTATATTACCGAATTCGTATTGTGTTGATATATATCTATGTGTATATTTGTTATTTAGGCCAAGCGAGCAGCGAAAATTACACAGAGGGAAAAAACGCAGCACACACACAGAGACGCACGCGTACGCGAGTTTTGCACATTTGTTGTTGTTGTTATGTGGTTGCAAATTTAATTTTATAACGATTTGAATTTAACACTTTTCTTTATATAGTAGGTTGCCTAGTAGTATATGTAATATATATATATATACTATATTTATGTGGGTATGTGTGATTTCTTTATATATATGTATATATTAATTTCTATGCGAAAAACACGACCAACATCAACCACGTATCTCGATTGACTAAACCCAAGTAAACGGCGAGGATACCCGCAATACACTAAAAGCGGCTGCTTGCCAATGCGAGCAGCGCCGTCAAAGTTGACGTCGAAGTCGACGCTGTCGTTGTTGCCGCTGCCGTTAATGCAATGCGGTTACTCTCGCTCTCAGCATGGCGACGTGTATTACGTATACGCTATTTATGTTTGTGCATGTGTGTGTATGTGTATGGGGGCATGGCGCTTTTTGTGCAGTTTCACTTTCAATGCTCACGCGTTTTTGCTCTCTCTCGTATGCTGCTGCGCTCATTCTGCTGCTACTGCTGCCGCTCTGCTTTGGCGCTCTCTTGCTTTGGTTGGCTTGACTTAGTGGCCCCCTTTTGGGTACTGGTACTGTGTGTGTTGTTTCTGTGTGTTTTATTTTTCTTTTATTTGGTTGCCACATTGAAATTCAAACTGCGCTGAAAGCGAAAGTGAAACTTTTTGCTATAGCTTTGAGCCACTGTACGCGCGACTCGACAAGAAACAACAACAAATACTACGACAACGACAACGACAAACGATGACGATGAGCTGAGCTGATGGCGACTCATTCTTTCGGATGTAGCGCTAAAAGTTACTAACATTATGAAAGCGTTAAATTTAGCTTTAAAGTTACTCGTCGCTATTTTGTAATTGTTTCTCAGTGTTGAAGTAGTAGTAGTTGTTGTTGTTGTGTTGCTTCTTCGTTTACCAAAGTGGGAATTTTGTGTGTTGGCTCGTCTTCAAGTTGCTTGTTACCAAGTTGATTTTGTAGTTGTTGTTGGTTTAGTTTTGTTGTTATTGTGTTTATGTTTTTGTTTTTGTTTTTTTTTGTTTGTCTATTGTTAGTCGCTTTGGTCTCAATTAGCTGTGGGTTATTGTTGTTGTTGCATTTGTTCATGACACGGTTTTCATGCAGCGCGTTTTCGTTTCCTATTTTAATTTTTTCTTCTTTATATTTAAGATCTTAGCCATGATCTAAGCTTAAAAAAAAAAAACATAACTGATTATATTTTTGACAAGTGGCAGCCAGCAAAAAGTTTCGGTATTTAATAAATAAATTATCGTGGTATTTATTATTGTCTTAATAAATGGTATGCGCAAAGTATTTTGTGTAATACTTAGAGATTTAAGAGATTCACTTTTAAAGCCTTATGAAAACCATCCAAGTCCAACAGCATTTCAAAATATTATCAGTGCGTATGCGTGATATTCTTTGTATTTTGTGTAATGCTTAGAAATTTAAAAGATTCACTTTTAAAGCCTTAAGAAAACCATTCCAAGTCCATCAAAATATTATCAGTGCGTATGCGCGATATTATTTGAAATCGCTTTTACAACACGCCGATGTAGGACTCCCAAAAGTTCACCAAATGCAATTAAATTAAAAAAATTCAATTTTATCTTCACAATTTATCTGAGGTTTGTTATCGTTCTCATCATTTTGTCCCAAATCTTTCTTTAAAAATGGAAACTGTGCGTATACATAATATTCTATGAATTGACGAATAACTCAAATTCTTGTAGCGTCTTTAAAGACCAATGAGTGTAGTACGTGTTGTGTACCATCAGCGTGCTGCCTTAAGGATCGTAAATTCATCCTAAAAACTTTCACCAAATGCAATTTCTTCAATCAAATAAAACGGAACTGAAACTCCGAACGGTCAGACGACTATTAAAATGCAACGTGTTGTGAATCAGAGAAGAAATATATGCAACCACAAAAAAAAGAGCGCAAATATTGCACCATTTTTTTTTCGTGTGTGTGTTTGTGGAAAAACCCCATGAAAAGGGAGCTACAAAAAAAGAAGTAAAATAAAAATAAATGATATACAAAAATGCAACGCAGCCGCAATGAACTTTCAACAAAAATGGAAATCATTCAGTCGAGAGACCCGATGCCATCCATAGTAAGACCAAAGTAAGACCCTGTCTGCACGTGAAAACGTGTCGGCGGCGCGTATCTCAAGTGACGCGTCTTGTATCTTTGCGTATGACGCAAAGTTAAACACGTTTGCCACCTTCGTGTTGTCGGTTTGCCAGTCAGCCAGTCAACCAGCCCGCCAGACAGCCAGCCAGGTACATAGGTAGGTAGATAGGTTGGTTGGTTTGTTCGCTGGTAGGTTGATTACAACATTTCAACGCTCAATTATGTGCGCAAGTAAATGAAAAGCCGAGAGTAGTCGAACAGTCGCAATGCTTGTTGGCAGATGAGTTTCTGGTAATGGTAATGGTAATGCTATTGATGTTGGTATTGGTAATGTAAAGAGGAGCTTACGAAACTCTTGAATGCGTTCAATAATAACGCACTGCCCAGTCACCGACAGAGACTACAGAAGAGGCTCTCTTTAGTTATGGCCAGCTGTTTATTGCCCGCCGGGCAGGCGGCCAGGCAGACACACAGACGAACGGATCGAGGCAGCCACGTTAACACAATGGAAGAGACAAAGGCGCATAATTTTTGTATGCCAATTTTCATTTCCTTCCAATAATACACTTAGAAAAAAAAGGTGGCACTTAAAAAACAAAGTAAAGGTACTTTTGAGAAAATTGTTATTAAAATAATTTAAAAAACTATTAAAGTACAGACATATTTTCGAAAAAAAAAATGGTTAGCATCTGTTTCAAACCACATCCTCTAGTTTGTATATATTTCATTTTTCTGTTTTTCAAACACAGTTTAGTTTGGGGTTTTTTTAAAAAATATATTTTTTGTTTGCTTAGGCCGGTGGGCAATATCTATTGAAAAACTAGTAAAGTTTAATTGGTTTAATCGCGCTAAATTAGCAAATAACTTTCCATCTATAAGCTATGTCCATCCATATATATCGCTTGATGATCAGTACAATATACATTTCAATATAGATTTCTTTCGACAATATAGATTTCTAGTTTCTTCGGTTTATGCTTTACCTTCCATATATCTAATTGAATATCCACCCATAGGACGATTGTTGGATTTATATATTTAAATAACTTTCTGCCTTTCTATTTATCTCTCTGTTTACTCGTTTTATTCCCTGATACATACGTATATGTTCATTGTTTCTAACACTGTTTTTATTTATTTTTATTTTATTTCTATTTATTTATTCTTTTTTTGTGACTCTATGAAAATGAATACCAGAGTTTTGTCTCTTGTATTCCAATATAAATAAATATTTTTTAATAAATAAA